TGGCCTAATTAATTACCCCTCATTCTATCACAATTCCTCTGATTATTGCAGCTCTGCTTTTGAGGGAAAAACCTTTCAAAATAATCATTTTAAATAACATAACAACCCTGCCTGTTTATTTACTTATCATTACCTTTTACCGAGGTGAAAAACTGACATATAAGTTATTTTCACCACCCAAGACTTCAGTTTTATGCCTTTATGTAACACTGCTCTTACTAAGAAAACATTCATTGTTAAGATGCTCCTTTCCTAGATCATTACTTTATGGAATTGTGTGCTAGAATGATTCATTAAGACACACCATTGAGTTTCCAGTAGTCTCTGGGTGCTTGGAAACCTCACAATCAGTCGAGAAGAATACTGGGTCGCTGAGAGAAAACGCATTAAAAACATGTTATTAAACATGTCCATTTTCTAAAGCTTGGACAAAAATATATAATATGTTACTGGTCCTACAGAAATGCGAAACTTGCCCTAAAGTTGGCGCTAGCTTTGTATTCTACTCCCTAGTAAAGTGTGTGTGTGTCTGTGAATCGGTAATATATTAAAAATACACCTCTCTGTATGTTAGCACATTATGCAATTTCAAGTGGTCTCAGTGAACTTATATTCTATTCTATTTTACAGGGCTTTTTGACAAATATGAATTTGAGGTATTTCATAATGGAAGGATGGGTGTTTTAAATGAACAGACCTAATCTCACATCACCTCGCACATGGACATGAGAAACATTAGCTTTTAAAAATTGGTGCTGATTTACATGATGATGAGTTCATTTTTATTCAGAAAACACTGGGGATAGTGACCCATAAAGAGAAAGATGACCCAACGGTTTGTAAATGAGCATCCATTAATTAAATAGACCTATAATACACAGTTTCATTAATATAAAACATCTTTATCTCCCTTTAGCCTGAAAAATACAGTGAAATATGTAATAAATTAAAATTACGCCGGAGTATTCAAGCGGCATTATTCTCATATCCATTAAAATCGTTGTGGGTGAGGTGTGTGAGTTTCACACACATATACTGTACAAAGAGTGCGTGTGCAAAAAAAACCTTTAGAGTGACGCTAACATAGAGAATTTATTTTGAAACCAAAGTTAAAGTCAGCAGGGAACATGGATGATTCATCGCTCCAACGCATCACGATGTCAATAAATTGGACATCGGGTATCTTCTCACAGGGGTAAATGTGTTTCTTTCACAACAGCCATATCCATTCCTTCCCTCAATCTGGCGATCATGCATGAACAGGAAGTAATGCATGGAAACACCATGAACAAACAGACAGAAGATACTGGGAGAACATTCTAATTCCCCAAAAATGTGCCAAGGACACAGATGAGCCACTGTCTTTCTGGAAGCTGTTTCTTTGTCACTGTACACTTTTGAAATAGCTTTAAAAACTATAAAAGTTACCCAGAAATCTCCAAAAACAATTATAATCTCAAATAAATTAAACAAGTGAACCAGGTAATATGTTTCTCCCCGAGTTATTTTATGAGTAGTATTACATTTTAGCAATTTAAGCTAAAAAATACACCTTCCGTAAGTAAGCCAGCAAACGGTCATTTGTCAATAAAGCTCTTCAACGTTAGATCTCACTGTTGTCTCAGATTGTTTTAAGTAAACTACTAATTACGTATTTTATTATCTCAAAATAAACAAATACAACACATGTATTTGGGCTGTGATAAATAATGTTATAATGTAATATAATAAGTCATTCCGAGGCAACATCTTCGAGTCACATTCTTCTTGGTTGTGTTCAGTCCAGGATGTCCTCTACCAAGAGACTGTATTAAATCCATTTTTCACAGTCTTTATCAACATGAGTCAGAGGACACCGCCAGCGTTCCGCATAGTGACTCCATGCATGTTCCCTCTTCTTTCCCAACAGAGAGACATGCACGGTTCTCAAAGCAACATTCAATCACCCATGCACTACAAATTTGATTTAAGACAGCAATTTCATTAGCCACACATTTTCCAAAGGACAACACAGAGCTCGGGCCCTCACATTTCATCATCATCTTTCCTGCTCCTGTTCTATTTGCCCTCTCTTCTCCTTTTCAGAGTTAACCAAGCTTTAAAAACCAACAAAGGTAAACATGTAATGCGTTTGGTTGCAGATGCTGAGCAAGCATGCAGAAAGACAGAAAAACAGAGGCAGTTAGACTGACAGACATGAAGCCTCTGCCCAAAGAGGGAGGGGTAAAAGCTGTAAAGCCATGACAAAGATGTGCACTGGGAGACATGACAGGAGTGATAAGTAAAAATGAATATGCCTCAGGCAGCTGACTACTGATTACTTTCTTACTATTATGGCCTGACGGTTTTCGAAGCCGTTTGCTGTAGGGTTGGCCATAATAAAACAGCACAGTGAGCATATCACTGGTGTGGGTTATGCTTGCATCCGGCTTCCATCATAAAATAAAACACAACCCTACCTCAGATCACAGGAGCTGAGTCTAAATTACATAAAACCTACTGATTCTTACCAGGTTTTGGGTATAAAGAGTGTTCACAAAGGAAAAATGAACAGAAATCAAGTCTTCACTATAAAAGGTGACAGTATGGTTATGTGGTGGGAACGGAAAGTTATATTGGATGATGCAAAGGACAACATACATGTAATAGGATTTGTTCATAGTTGGAAAATAAATAAAAAAGTGGATGCTGTTGAGCCTGCTCGAATGGACAAATAAACACAGAAATGCAAAATAAACAGGGGGTGTTTTGCTTTTTTTGTTTTCCTAATAAATCCATTGGAAGTCAATCAACAATGCATTTACTCCGTCTCTCCATGAATTCTGATTTGACATCTATGTCTACCAAACTCAGCCCCAAGCCAATTTGTAATGATTTCTATCTCCCAAAACAGGTTACAAAAACATATTTTCAGGCTTATTAATTTACCGAAACAGCTGGGCACTGCAGTTTTTATCAAGAAGAGCAAACAGTACATTTGTTGGGGATTATATTTAACAATGGATTAATACAAATGTAGTGCTGAGAGTGATTATTCACAGCAGCAGGACAGCGTATGTGAAATTGACCCAAAATAATTAGCAGTGCCCATGCTTATCGTAATCACACAGGGCAACACCACGGTTCACTGAATTATTAGATTGTTGACAAAAAAGAGGAATCAGCTATATCAGGCCCTTGGTTACAAAGGCAATACTTTATAGCATAGTAGTTTTTTCAGTTTGGTATTATACAATACTGTAGGAAGAACATATATCAAAGCTGAGTTTCCCTTTAAGTGATATTCAAATTCTGCTTCAGACGCGGTGGTGAAAGCCCATGAGCTGGTGAGTGACGTGTGGCAGTCAGACACCTTTATTTTCATTTTCCTCCCTTCAGATATTGTCATTGTACTTGTGACCTTATCACTGACATGCCAAAAAATACTGCTGGCGTTAGCTGATGTTCAACAGGCGCACAGCGTAAAGAACAGAAATAGGGATAGGGCAGAGAATGCTTGACTAAGCAGTAGCTGTTACCTCATTAGGCCTAGTGCTTCACAAAGATGTTTAAAACATGAACTGCACACTCATTTAGTGCGTAATTGGAGTAAGGTGTGACAGGGTCACACAAGGGGGAACAGCCAAAGTGGAAGGGTCGTGATCATTACGATTACATTAACTAACATTAACTTAGCATGGTCTCTATGACTCCATTCATTTCCTTCTTCTAGGAATAATAACTCTTGCTTCCCAAGGTTTTGCAAAGTTTTTTTTTTTAAACTGCACTTTTTCCTATGCTATTTATCAGTCTCCTATTTTCTGTTACCCTTCAATTGCTCTGTCCCTCACGCTCTCTCCCCCCCTCTTCCCAATCACACACACACACACACACACACACACACACACACACACACACACACACACACACACACACACACACACACACACACACACACACACACACACACACACACACACACACACACCCCATTCAGTTTTAGAAAGCACTGTAGGCAGAAATGCCCATGGTTCGGATCATGCTGAGGAAGCAGGAATTAATTCCAATCAGGCTTGAACAGGGAAGAGCCATTCCATTCTGCACCACTCCTGGAGACACTCAAACAAGGAGCACCCCCACCTCTCCTTCATATGCATGATAGCACACACACACATGCACAAATCAGTATCACACACAAAACTTTGAACACACATGGTATTGTGATATCACTTGGCAGCCAAACATAATTGTGTTTATTAAACATCAGTGGTGTCTGTGACACTAATACCATGCTAATGAAGCCCCTGACACATTTGTTCACTTGTTTTTGTTTTTCACATTTCGCTAAGATTTTTAGCTAGCCATGAAGTGTAGCTAATACTGTTGCTGACAATAAAAACACTGTTGTCAAGATTAAAAGCATTGTGGTATCAATGTCAAAAGCCTCTATGCAAATATTGTGCACATTTGCTGTTATCTACTCTTCTAGAGCACCTCTCCTCTGCTCCTCTTTCCTCATTCCCCCCTTCATCATTTGCCTCATAACGGTGTGTCAGAACACTGCCACAAAGCTCATCTGGGAGTAAAGCAATTTGCTTCGTCTTCCTTCATGTGCCTGCACCATCTCCTTCATTTTCACTATCTTTCATACCTACGGGTCATAGCTCTGACACAGTCCATGTGGGGATCTGCCTCAAATCCATGTCACCATTCTACCACCTTTCACTCACAATGAATTCACTGTCTCGATATCTATTTCCATCTTACTGTACAACTCCTGTCTGCTTTTTGCCATCTCAAGAATAGGGGAGAATTTTAGCATATTGCTTTACTTGGCATTTTTTGAGCTCCCTTGAGCCGAGGACAAAGCATTATGTTAAAGACCCATACTTATGCATCATGAAAATAGCTGTAATATAACTGGTCATTATATTTAGTAGTGTGCACCTTTGGGCCAGTCTGAGCCCGAAGCTCCTGACAGATTATCCCTGTCTGACCGCACTACATGGTTCTCTCCTTACCTATGGGTGACAGCTCTGCCACACTGCCGATGTAGGGACCCTCCAAGAACTTGGGCTCGCTGTCGTTGATGTCCTGGACCTTGATGACAAACTCTGACTCCGATTCCAGAAGGTCGTTGGACAGCCGGTCCCTGGCCCGGGCCCTCAGTGTGTAGGAAGCCTTCTCTTCGCGGTCCAGTCTCTCTGTGGCGTGGATGTCTCCTGTAAGCTCATCGATGATGAAGATGGTGCCTGCCCCTTCTCCTGTGATAGTGTACTTGATGTTGCCTTCACCCTCGTCAGAGTCTGTATGGATCTGTAAAATGAAATGAAATAAAAAATAAATAATCAAATGAGGCTCACACTTAATGTTTATTTTATTTAATGTGACAGAAGGGCAACCCTAATGCCTCAGAATTATGTTTACACCATATTACTTTGCAGCAGTAAGTGCAATTTACTAGAAACATAAAGTATGCACATGATTATGTTATAACTTATAACCAACATAATGAGGAATGTAAGTTTAAGAAAGTTGATATATTTGCTTTTGCAATACCACCACTTTTGGTTAGCATGTGAGTTGGTTGAATCTTGAAAAACAAAATCTTCAAATTGGTTTGAAGCAGAAACAGGCTGGTCTATTTTTGTCAACAAAAATCTAAATCAAAATGCTTTTGTTGCGTAACATACATAAACTCAGGTCACAATCTTTAAATGTATGATCACTTGATATCGCATATGGACGCTTCATGACACCTGAGCTCCATTCACTGATGGAAGCTGCTAGATGCAGTTGAAAGTTTAGTAAACCAGTATGCTTGCATTTAATTTAATACGTCACATATTTTGCATAGCATTTTCTATTTAGCTTCAACTTCTTTGAATACTGATGGTTTGTGTAATTGATAGTTGTCAGAAAATGACATTTGGTCATCAGCCGTGACCAAAGGAAATGAGTCCATACCTTCCACCCATTCCCGTATCTTATCCCTGCGATGGCAATTGCAGCTTAAGGCCTTCTCAGAGCTTCATATAACCAGCCATCATCGTTGTCTTATAAAAAAAGACACCTCAGTTCTAGTAATGATTTACACCTTTTTTGCACATGGTGCCCTTCACAGGATGTGACGCCCAAATTAGGAGTCCAAAGTCGTTTCAAAGATTGTTAAAGGTAGAGACATAGAGGTGCCAAGGCTGAAAAGTGAACTTAAAAGAGCCCTTATAAATCAAAGCTATAGTTCCCCCTAATGTGATTAGAAGACATTCCAGAGGCAGCAATAGAAGCAGCATTGGTCCCCCATCCAAACCTCCCGTTTGGCTCTTTAGTGGGCACTAGACCTGCTCCCTCTCTCTCTCTTTCTCTCTTTTTCCCCCTCTCACCCTCTTTCTAAAATTATAACTCAAAGCTATCTATGTAGTGTGAGTGTGCAGTGTGCAGACCATGCAGGGGAGAGGAGAAATCGCCCCGGCCTCCCTAGTTAATATTTTATAAAGGCTTAATTAAATACAGGCTTCTATCACCCTCGCGGGGGTTTTCATTAAGTATTTGTCGTAAAACTGAAGAATAATGCAGGGCTGAGCCTCGATATTGCCTTCCTCATCCATTTCCCCCTCCTCTTTATCTATCTGTTTTTGCCTTTTTTCACCATTCCAAATCATCCTGAAGACAAATACGTGAACAGTCAGAGGAAATATACGTACGGATACTTTGATGGTATCAATATTTCAGTTATAATAAAATAAGTTTCATTGGTGCAAACAGTGAAAGTTATCCAATAAAAGTGTGCATAGACATGTGCCACTGGATATGTTTCACCAAGACACTCTCTGTATTTCTCTCTGTATTTCTCAATTAGATTTTTGGAGACAAGAATGTGTGTGAAATGTTGTCCTCATTTATTAATTAAATTGCACAAATGCTGACACCATGCTTGTAAGTTCATACCTACTACATGTTCTCAACCAGCCACACGCACACACCTACCTACTGTGTTTGCTTGCTCACACACACAAACACACACACACACAAGCATATTCATAGATAGTGAGTTCATCATTCTGCTGGGATGATGCTATTTTTCCCCCCTCAGGCTGAATATACCCATCCGTCTGTCAGTCTATCCTCACTGGAGTGATTCAAGTTGACAGCATGAAAAACACACATACTATGCTTAGCAAATTGTTCTCAGCAAACTAAAGGTCAGAGCCAGGACATCACTCTGTTAGCCAAAAATAAACAGGCAAATCTACCCTTAACAAATGTACATGAGGAGTCCGCTGCTGATGAGCAAGAATCATGCTCCACTGGTCAATCTTTCTGAGAGCTGCATGTTTTACATTTTGCAACAGTGTCACCCGATGAAACAGTTATATGAAGTGGGGGGAATAGAGTTTGTTTGGGCTGGGGAAGATTTGCATTGGTCAGGGCAGTAGTCTTGAGAGAAGGGAAAAAGACAAAAAACAAATGCATGCAATCATATAGATTTAAACTCAATGTCTACCTTTAGGTAATGATCACAGGGTTTTGCAGTTTGATATTTTTTTGGGGCATTACGATAGTTATCTACCGCAGATAAAAATGGGTATCTATTTAAATCCATTGTTACAGGCAGACTACAAGGTAAGCGCTGCTGCTGATCCCAGCCTACACTACAAACATTTTATAACCACCTCTCAAAATTGCAGGGAGAAAAACCAGAGCATACTTTAAGGTGGAAGATTACTTTGCCATGCTTGCCCACATAATATTAGCAGTGTTAAAGGCAGGTGCACACATTCTGCACATTTGTGAAGAAGCATGCTTTTAGAAACGGTTAGAAAGACATAGACGCGAAGGACATATTTTTAGATCAGTGTAAACTAAATGAAATGATTCTAGTTATTTTGTGCTTTGCAAATAACGACCATAGAAAATGCTTGGAAGTCGTAGAAAAGGACACTCCTTCCTCCAGGAAATGCCTAGGAATGATCGTTTTTTAAAGTTTTAGCAATAAGCATGACTCACCAAATCAGAATATTTAATGATTATTAGACATTCAAATTATGAAAAGGCTATGTTAAGGGAATTTGTAAGAATAATGTACCCAATACTCATATTCCCATGTGTGCATTTCAATTGTAAGCAGTTACATTAATTTTCCTACCTTAATATGTTCTGCCAAAAACTAACATTAGCCTCATCTGAACTTTTGAAACATGAGTGCGCAGAAGGACTTAAAAAAGCTTTACATCATGGCCAGTATGGAAAGGATGATTACAGTAACCAACAACTCTCTCAACATGCATAGCCCGTGACATAGGGGTATAATAACAGCATATTGTAGATTACATTTATTAAAAAAATCTGAACCTCTTCTTTAAACTTACTTAAAATGAGCATTTCTCGCTGTGGCTTAGCAGTTATTATGAATCAGTATTTGGCTTTAAGCTAAACTTTATGCAAGAAGTAAGCACTGCCTAAGGGTTTACAGTGGGGGCTGTGGGGTGAGTCAGGGGAGAGTGAGGCTGTTAAAGCCCTGTCAGGTTCACCTTTGGGTCATAACAAAGTGTCTAGCTGTGACACTGTAGGCTAACCTGCTTAAGGGAGTGAAATATGACTCACATGCAGTGACACAAAGTTTCATTCTTGTCAGCTCTTTTGAGTTTGTATATTAAAAGTACATTATTGCAAAAGCTCAGCTTCGGTAATGCACAACAGAGTGGTAAATTATGATTTAGAAATTGGAGACATCCCTTTTAAAAAATGTAAAACATCTGTGAATCTTTGGATCCCGCAAATCGCACACAACATTTCAACAAACGTGTCAATATGAATTTAAAGTGTTTACAAGCGCAAGTCCATGCCTTTCACAATTACAGAATCAAGTGGCTTAATAAAATAAAATATATAATAGAAAGGGGAGACATGTGTTGGTCAGGATTTTTCATTTCCAGTGGAGATATCAGAATTTGGGCTTCACTGAATCCTTGGTTTATTGAGGGTTTCAAAGCGGGAGCAAATTGGCTGTCTTATATTTAAGTCTGTGTAATCAGGAGTAGGCCTGCCACATTTCACTGCAGCTTGTCAAGCTCTGTGATCTTAACAGCTTCAAAGTGTTAACAAGGTGACTGAATCAGAGGCAGCCTAGGTGGAGACAGCTATGTGGAAGCAAGGGTACAGACCATGGGAGATGGAAGGGAGGGCAAATGGTAGCATAGAGAAGAGGAGAAACAGAGAAAAGAAAGTCAGTGGGAGAAGAGAGATTTAAATGAGGGGGCAATGGTGCTTGGATAGTGGGGGTTGGAGGCAGAACTTCAAAAGCTTAGACAGGAAATAGAGGATGGAAGTGCACAAGTAAAGAGCCACAAAACATAAATCAAAAGATTATTTATAAATCATTTCAAACAATGACAAACCAGAGAAAAAAAAGGCTCTCTAGTAACAACAAATGGGAAATGTGGCTCCTTTAAGTTCCGTGTCCAATAGCACCACCGTTTTTTTTTTTTCATTTCTCTGATCTGTTCCTGTTTGATGTCAGCCTTGTGATGTTAGGACCTAGATTTGACTAATCAGGACTTGGATCATTGCGATGGGGAGAATTGCTTTAACAGACCATAGCACATGCATGTTTCTGTTGTTGAAATAACTGTATCCACGGTCAAACACTGTTTTCCCCTTCATTCATAAACACACACACAAGGCACAGCAAGTATGCCAACCAAGACTACTTGGTTATCACAAAGGAACTCTTTGTTGACTACACTGTCACAGTTAAGGGAACAGAACAAAACAGCTAAAAGAAATAAAAGCACATGCAACATGCTTGTTATAAGGTTTATGCTTTACTTTATATCCAGAACAAGACTGAACATGTTGTTGTCCAAACCAGATACACTGAAAGTGATATCCCATAAATCAAACAGATTTTTTTAGAAGACGTTTCGGTGAACAAAAAAGACAAGGCCATCTGTTTCATTTGGCTTCAGATTAAATGCATATTTGAAAGAAAAGGGATAAATAACCACCTTGCAAATGGACAAACATTATTTCTTAACTCGTCATGCTGAAAAATGATAACCAAATCCATGCCAGATACAGAACATACAGATCAGAGAGTTGGAAGGATACAAAGATCAAAGCATACTGCATGCATGCTACACACACAGTCCAATTCTATATCTCTCCTCTGTTACAATAGAGGACAAAAAAGTTGTAATGTTTGCGTTTTAACAACAGCCATTTAAGATAATCTGGGCTCAACAGCAACTCTGCCTCTTATGACATTTTGAACAGTAATTCACAATAAGAAAAGGTAATGGCACAATCTTAGTCTACAAGGATGCATTACCTTACTGATCAAAGCTGCCAGTTCAATTGAATGGGAGTGACCATTTTATAGGTTAATCTGATTTCATTAGCAGAGTAGTGGTACATTGTAAAACGGACACAGCTTGGCAAGTTTGCTGAGTTGGGGAAAAGTAAAAAAAAAAGAAAGAAGCTTGTCGTAATTATCCAGTACAGAGCCACAGTGCTTAGCTTTAATCCTCTACTGCTCAAATTAAAGTGTTGATACCAAAGGTCCAGCAGTCCATCTGTGTGCTAGAGAGAGTTCTACACAGACATCCACACTCACACAAACCATTATTATCACTATTCGCATGAAGTGCAATAACTTTTAGATAATATTATGAATAAGATCATCCCTCTTCGCCTCCTGCTGTGTCACTCCCTTGAGCTTCCCTCAGCCCTTTAAAATCAGTTCACTGCCTTCCCTGGAACCCTGTCCTTTAATGAATAACAAATCAGTGTATGAAGTATTTCCGTCCCTAGTTTCCCTTTGCAGCCTCTCCTCTCCCTTTGTTCTCCCCTTCCTCATGTACCACTCATTTCTCTCTACAGTATGTCACTGTCCCCCATCACACGGACAGCAGTGCCTGTTGGCTTTGTATTTGGTTGTGCCAGCAGGAATGCAACGTAATTACAATGTCTGACAAATAATGGCCAAAGGATAATTATTCTGCAACAGCCAGCCCTGCTGTGAAAAACATCTCCATTCATTTGTTTGGAATAAAGAGATCAATATATGCAGATGCAATATTAGCTGGTCAATTGCCATGTCTAAATGATTAGAAACAAGGGGATCACAGAATTGCTGTCTGTGACTCATCACTGAGTCTCATGCTGTCTACATTAATATCCCATCTTTTCTAATCTTGTCAGATGTAAGGCAATCAAATTGTACATGCTGTCAACTCTCATCAACTGACTGCAGTGTGTACAACTGAAGAACAGGATGTGAACGAGAGGAGGGAAAAAGAAGAGGAAAATATTCTAAAATGAAGGCTACACATTGGACTACAAGAAGGGCAAACTGATTTGATTTGACGTATACTTAATCTCTATAATCACATTAGAACAATAACATCTCTGGTGTCAAGATATCGTCCTGGACATTAAAAGGAGAAGGGCAATGCTGAACCTGTCATCACTGAGTAATGGGGCTGTTTGACCAAATAGTTGCTGGGAAAAAATTGCCGCAGGAACTAAAGGAAGAAATAGGGTTTTCGATTTTGAGGATAAGACAAATTAGTCTGATAACAGACTACAAAAAATGGTCATGTTTGAGATTGTTTTCACACACAGCTTATTATGCAACATTTTTAAAGAATGCAATGGTGGAAATGGGTCAAAAAAACTCCTAAGCACATGCCTCCAAAGTCGCTTTAATCTGCATTTTAAGTGTTTATAATAATAATAATAATAATAATAATAATAATAGATTAGATTTGTAAAGCGCCTTTCAAGGGACCCAAGGCCGCTTTACATGGTGAACTAAACAAACAAACAAACAAAAGGGGCAAATAATAAAGTAAAACATGTAATAAATAGCCGTAGGAGTGGAAGCAGGGGGACTGTGATGGGTTAGGGGTCAAATATGGTCGGATATATATGATTTAGGTAACCGCAATGAAACAATTAGCAAATGTTTCTTTGGTATTGTTACATTTCTTGTTGCGTTCTGTATTTAAGGACTTGAACACTAGTCGTGTTTGCCCAGTAAAAGCAACTATGATAGTTCCTGTGCCATCAAAACGTTCTTCCTCCCACTGCATCAAAGTTAAATGATCCAGGATTTATGGATAATAAAATAAATGTAGCCTCTGTTTCCCATCGTGTAAAAGCAGGCGTTCTTGAGAAAAGTCAGCTAAATTGTGTGTCATTTTTATTGATTGAAACTGGATTCAGGCTCACTTTCATTGGATTCCATAGGTAATGCAAAAGGCCATTCACAACATGAAGGTTTAAAGTTAACACTAAGTGCTTATCTCCGCTTATTTCCACCCATTTACCTTCAAGTTATATTTGAGGCTACTACCAAAGCAAGTCTGTGTGTATTATATATTGCACTATTCTGGGAAAGTTGCCTTTGAAGTGTGTCTCTTCTAAAAGCGTAGCTGCTTCATAAATAACTGTTCCAGTAGTTCACCTTTGGAAAGTTTTCGCGTGACGCATCAGCAGGATGTACTTATTTTGCATTACAAGAAGCAAATGACAGAGTGGATCAGAGAACGATGATGTTCTCATATTTAGATAACAGTGACAACAGGACTGTAGGTGTGAAACAACATTTAAAGCTATGGTAACTCTGCTGCACTGGAGCTCCACAACTACTGACAGGTAAAGGTAGAAACTATTTTACAGAATGGCTGTTTCTCTTCTATTGCATTAAGTCACAGTTGTGATCAGCCAGAGCTATAGATGTTATGAAGAGACAAAAAGTAACAGTATTTTTTAGGGCTGTCAGTCGATTAAAATATTTAATCGCGATTAATCGCATGATTGTCCATAGTTAATCGCGATTAATCGCAAATTAATCGCACATTTTTTATCTGTTCTAAATGTACCTTAGAGGGATATTTTTCAAGTTTTTAATACTCTTATCAACATATGAGTGGACAAATATGCTTTATATGTTTGTTTATTATCATTTGAACAATGACAAATATTCTCATGAATATTAAACACAACAACCTCTGAACATTACAAATATTCGCTTCAAATCAACCTGGAACCACTCTCATACAATAATACAATACAAAGTGTGTGTGTGTGTGTGTGTGAATGTGGAGACACTGTGATGGATCGTTGGAGCTATGTGCAGCTCAAGGCATATATGCTCGAATGGGAGCTGCCTGGACGCTGCAGTCATGTTGCGCGCACTATCCGTGGTGAGTGTGCTGACTTTTCGTACAATGTCCCACTGTCTGGCTACCTGCATAAAGTCAAGTGCTCGGCGCAGTTGTCGGCGAAATGTCGCGCCTCTGTTTTCATTGAAACAGCTCCTTATATCCGTTAGCGCAGCTAGCTAGCACCAGATGCTAACAACAACAACAACACGTAAGGTGTGCCTCGCTCAAGTCGCGCCACACATACACACACCCTCCCGGTCCTCCCGATGGCCAGTCCGGGCCTGCCGGTGAGCGTGGAAGTGTGGTCTGCCACAAGCGGGTGGCAGGAGCGGGGCTGTCAGCATCAGCTTGTAGATGGTATTTTAAACTCGATGCGCTCTGAAACTACGGGGCGACCGAGGACAAAAAATACACATGCGTTAATCGCGTTAAAATAATTAGTGGCGTTAATTTTTTTTTGCGACAGCCCTAGTATTTTTATATTTTCACTTTTGTTCATAATGGTAGGGAATAATTTGCTTAGGTATTCAACCTTTGACACAGTTCATAATTTTCTCCTTTCACGGTCTCTTTTCCCATGGCATAGGTCTATGGCCTTGGGTATTGCTGCTATCTCTCTTAAGGAGGGGCAGCTTGGGCGCATTGTTGTTGCCAGCTTATGACCGAGCACGCGCCGTCATGAGGTAGTTTATTGTTCAGGGACATCTAGAGGCTCTTCTTTTTAGGAGCGTAGGTTCCCTGGCGCACATTATTTTCTATGGACGACAGCTCTAGTTAGATTCAGGGTCCATATTTGTTTAGTCTCGCTGATAAAGAATGTTGATTATTACACTCCGAACTAGTTAGAACCTTGAGCTACAGAAGAGTTCTTCAGAATTGGTTTGACATCTCTACCGTGTGGTCAACTCGTGGCTCATGACATGTCTTGTGAATTCTCCAGCCGAAGCTCCAAATAAACCGTCAGTGTTTGCCATCAAAGTTCCAGCTCTCCTCGTGTCTCTCTGAGTCCTGTTTCCAATTGCTTCAGAAGTTTCCCTCACACATAACTTTAGATTTATATTGGTTAACTGTCTGTTTACTTGCGATAGAGCACTGATGTTTAGTGTCTGTTAGTAGTTCTGTATGGTAACGAATTGTAACCTTCGTTCTATAAACATAGGCGGAGCCCTCTACTGGACTGTTTGGGTAATACTCGGGTAGGCTCGTCCTGATTGGCCAGCTACGTTGACTAAATTCAAATTGAGCAGGCAAGCATCTGCCTGCTATTGGTGAAGAACATTACCCAAAGATTCCAGTAGAAGGCGGAGCCTGAGTGAGTGAGAACAACTTTTTAGACCTTACCGCAGGTTATAGACTATGCCATCCCTGCTAGACTACTGCAATTCCCTTTTCACCAGGAATTGGAAGTCGTCCATGAACTGTTTACAAATGGTCCACAACAATGCCAACAGACTCACATCACACCCATCTCATCCTCTTTACATTGGCTCACCATTAACTTCTGAATCAAAAAATATATATATATCCCTACATGGTCCTGCATATGAGGTCTTCCTACCAAGTTCTACTGAGGGCTCTTGAGTTCTACTGTCAAGAAACGGTGATTTTGCTTTGAAGAGCTTTGATCTATAAAGTTTGATGGTCTTATTCTTATTATATTTTATTCTTGTCAAGTACTTTATGATAATATTTTATGAAGGTGGTATATTAAAAAATACCTTCCTTCAAATGCATTCATCCTCACAACAGGAGCATGCATGCATTCATACTTCAACTGAAAGGTTTATCATACAAAATACCTTCAATTCAATAAATCAAGTCTTATTCAAAACATTATTCAGACAATACATATATACAGAGTAAATGTAAATGACTTACCTTGCCAACATATAGCGGCTCTGTGCCTGTATACTCCTCCACCACAAAAAACTGGTTCCACACCCATCCTCTCTTCACTCTTTCATATGGCGAGGGTTCTGGCTCTTGTCTACTCCCTTCTGAGTCCGAACCACTAGTCCTTGAGACCTCACAATAGCCAAAACTACAGCAGCTAAACAAACTTAATGCTGCAAACAGTGTCCAAGCTCCTGCTTTAAAAAAATGAGCCATTTTGATTTTTAACAAAATGGGAAAAGAACAAAAGATAGAAATTCTGCCGGGGTCTACATGCAATAACAAAGATACATGTAGAAATAAAACGTTTTTGGGTTGTATTTTATACCAAATAAAACTCCACAAGGGCAAACATAAAATGTTTTTGTGTCAGAACTTGAAAGTTAATCCATGAGATTGCAAATAAATCTGAGGTTATCTGGTGAATACAGGGCACATCATGGAGCATATTGGATTCCTTCCTCCTGCAGAGTGCCTGTTTGTATCGTAGCATGGTCAGTCATTCTGATTCTGTTATAGTATCCACCCCACCTTTGTATAGCACTTTTTGCAATTATGCCTGAAAGTGAAACAAACAGACTTTGGCAAATGTCTTTCAAACTAAGTTGTTGAAGGCAACCAAAACAACAGATTTTACTGGAGCATGTCACTGATTAGTAGGGAAACTAGTGGAAAAAAGGAATACAACAACAGTAAGCAGCACGCCCTTGAAGAATGATGGTGTCCATCCATTTTGGACTTTGCCATTTTAAGTGCTTAATTGCATCTGGTTACACTTCTAGCCATGTCACTTCCAAGGTAGGTGCATGTTTCCAGAGGTTAAATACTAAGCTGCCAAAAATAACAATATATATCTTGTTTTTCTGCTGTGATCCAGTTCCGTGAAAAGTCATGAATAGGTTTGCCTCCTGAAGCAGAATCCTTGAATTGAGAAAAGGTCAACTCATTTTACTCTTGCTGATTTTGTTTGAGCTTCAATGTATTTTCCTTGCAGAACAATCCAGTGGGTTGTAAAGTTCATCCTTCAAAGGTCTTACAGTATTTCTGTGGCCATCATGACAACTCCATCAGTGATTCAAAGGCAGAAGTAGGACACACCTGTAAGACACAAAAGAGGAAAATGTTATAGTTGCGATTTGGGCTGAATATAGACATTCTTTTTTATCCTTCTGAGCCTTTTTTAATGTTTTACTTTGTCTTCTATAGCATGCAAAGTGCTGAAACATTAATAAGAACAAACATCCCCCTTTCTTCATCTTTCTTTTTCCATTGTGTTCTGAGGGACAACACCCACAATATGTTGGTGTTGTTAGGATTATCTGAAGAAAACTGTTTTCCACTAGCAATTATTGTGTTCAGCAAGAACTCTAACAACGTGCTGTGAACTGGAGAGCGATGGCTGAACGGTGAAAAGAGGACAGGAAACCAGGTGTGTGGAAAATAGAAAAGGAGAGAGAGAGAGAGGGATGAAGAAAGAGGTGAGAGAGGGAGGGGAAGCAACAGAGAGAGGTCATTGTTCATCACACACCAGACCCAAAGCATCTGTCTGCCTTTCGTCCGACTGATGGAGCGGCCCTAACATCAGCCAGCTGATTAATTGCATGAGGGAGCACTAATTGGATAAAAGTATTAATCAATTAATTCTATCCAATAAGGCAACAACCTCCTAATACTTCAGACAAACATTGGGGGGTAGCAGGGGGGAGGGGCAGATACGGTCCTCGGCTGTTGTGAAACACGCACAGAGGTTAGACAGAAAGACGGAGCTGACGGAGCAGAGAGGGAGGTAAGGGAGGGTGAATGAGAAAGAGCAAGACAAAGAGAAGTGAAAAATGAAATAATGACTGAAAGATTAAAAGAGAAAACGAGACAGACTGTATTGTGTGGCTGTGGGTATGATTAATGGTCTCTCCGACACATTCACAACAAAAGGCGGATAACAGAAAAAGAAGAAACAATAACATTTAGTATGTCTCTGGCCTTATGACCCCAAGAAAGGAAGATTGGAACAGTAGTGGAAGAAAAAGCTCTTCGGGGCAGCAGGTGGTTTAACCTATTGTATTTGCACCGGATGGGAGAGGACTTCTAATCTCACACTTCTCCTGCCCAGTAGCGTGCTAGGAGCTTCCGGAAATAATTCCTTCTCAGACTGTTGGTGAAGGCAATGTCCGTGGTATTGGAAACCGACTGCTCTGGGGAGGTTCAATCTCCAGAGAAAACAGTTCAGGAGCAACTTAAACAGCTTATACCTCTTTGTTCACTTGGTACTGTGGTGGTTGTTATTGGAGGAACTATGTTGGGATCAGTGTTGTGAGTCATGTGATACAGAGGTTCATTTGCTAAACCAAATGAGTAGTCATGCAACACATTCATTCAATGTGACATTTGCTTTAACAATGCTCCAGTATTGAGGAATTTTGGAAACTTGCAAAAGACCCACTTGCTAAATGCAATATTGATGTATGATATCAGCATGCTAAAGTTTTCAGTTCTGTTACATCTTTCGCCTCCTTTCAAACCAACCACCAACATAATATAAATGCCATGCAACATGAAATAATCCATGATGTTTTACATGCAGTTTTTGATTTTGTTGGAATAACACTGTCCAATTGTTTCGCAGGCTATTTAGGACTGTATATAAGACTAAAATAAATGTCATGATGGAGTGCCCGCTTTACTGTATTAACTCGAACATTTATGTACCATTCTTTGCACAATTATCATTGGTTTATTGTCACACAGAGATACCTTAATAAAAAAAACCTATAACATAACCATACCTGATTCAGGAACTATTAACAGGGTTCATACACTTTTTCACCAATGATTTTCAATGACTTCTCCATGACCTTTACCTAATTTTCCATGACCAAAAAAATTACTCTCTCAGCGGTACCACTGAAAATGGTTTATTTTAACATGGAACAAGAAAATAAGGCCTGAAACATGTTGTGCCTATCTAAAACAAATCAAATAGTAGGCTTACTAGCTTCTACACGCTAAAGCAACTAAAATCTCTCACCAGCAAAATACCTCGACAGTTAAATGCCATTTTACGTTTCATTACTATACGATACAGTATGTATTATCATTATAGTATTACTATTTCGGCGATTAGATAAAATATAAATTATATTTGATGCAACTTTAGTTATATTTCCATGACTTTTCTAAAACTTTGGGAAAAATATTGTTTTCCATGACTTTTCCAGGGCCTGGAATTAGCATTTTGAATTTCCATGACTTTTCCAGGTTTTCAATGACCGTAAGAACCCTGTATTAACTGAAACATGTATGTTCATGAACCTGCCAACATCCATGGGAGACAGTGCCAATGGCTGCTCTGAACCATTCACTAATGATGCACGGGTCACAGTTTTGTATTATCCGCACCAACCCAAGAGAGAGAGAGATAAGGTGAAAGGTGGACTAATGCACACTATGTCTCTTTAAGGAAGTTAATTAATAACTTTAAAAGCTTCTGTTTTATCCGTCCACCCAAACCTTGATATTTTTTAGTAAGCTCATCTTAACACCACATGTGGGAAATTAATCTATACCACACACATACCATCATGATATACCAAAACTAAACTCAGTGGCTCACTTTTTCTATTAAACTTGTTCCTGACAGTTAATTCACGCTCCAATTCAATTCAATTCAATATGATGTATTGGCATGAATGTCCATACAGAGTTTTGTTTAAATGTTTTTTTGTTACCCTGGTCAGATAACTTACCAATGTCAAATCTATAATTAGGGTTTTTTAAGAACTTGAGAGGGACAATTCAGCCTTCAAATCTGGTCTCTAGACACAGACAGACTATCCCTATTGTGCCATGGCAGACCAACACCAGCGGTGCACCATGGGCCTTGGCACTGTGCATGCCACTGCCTCTGTCTCGTACAGTAGGAGTGTGCTTTTTGGCAGTGATAGGAATATTTCCCAGCCTTCTCCAGCTTTGCTCTGACAGCAGTGAAACAAAATCTGACTGGGCTCTGTTAACTCTGCCCTGTACCTTTCTCTGAGATCCGCCACTTTCCCCTGCAGAGAACCAACGTGGCCTGGCACTAAAGATGACACACTATTATCATTCTCTGTTGAGGTAGAACTGTGTGCCTCTGCGACCAGGCCACCCCTATTGTGTTGTTAAAAAGCTAATTTCAACATGTCCTTGTCTCAAGATCCACATTTGCTGTAAGCCAGGTTATGGCTGTATGTCTACAGAAGTCACAAATAGACGATCCTTCTGTCAACTCATTGCCTGTTTGTCTGCTATGTTTCCTCCAGACATTTGAATAATCTTCTGCTCGTTCATTATCTGCTCAAGTACGAAGAGCGGCTTTCTGTGATCTTTATTCGGCCAAGATATGAAAGGGTAGCACTAGGGCATTCCTGCATGCTTTTGAAATGCTCTGACCGCTGAGAGTAGGACGAATTTTAAACAATGCAATGCAGCATCATTGGGCGACATATTGCAATGGCCAATCAAACACATTCATAATCCATTGTACTTTGCGTTTTGTGTGAAAACTGTAACATATTGCCAAAATCACTGTTTCTTCAAGACAGATTTATAAAATTATTTCTGCCATGACAACTTTCCACAGATGATAAATCTTGTTTCAAACAGTAGGGGTATAAACTAATGTGTTTTGGATTTTGTGAACTGCAAATTCTGTATCTTATTTCATCTCACATCTCCACTACTGGTAGCAACACTCCCACACCAATGCTTCACAAAGGTTATTAACACAGTGCTATATTAGGTTCGGAACATTGACAATGTTTTGAGGCGTCGCAATTTAACATAAATGTTCTCACATGGTTTAGAAATCACCTTAAACACACATTTAAATTAAATGTTTATCGTATTAATAAAAGTTCACCACACATACCTTAATGAGATAAAACAGTGAGCAAACTTGAATGATAGTCAATCGAAATGAAAGAAAAAGTCTTATTAAGTCCTTGCTTGACTTAAATTGATCAAAAGTTTTTTTTTCTTTTCAAGTTTCCAATTAGATATTTTGGAGCTGTGGAGTGATAACTTCAAAGAAAGAAAAAAAAACTAACTGTTTATTCCTCTGTGCCTCAAAGGCAAACAGCATTGGGAGGATAAAATTAATTTGTTTTTGCCTATCTACACTTTCCCTGTTCCCTTACAGTAGATGACTTAACAATGCGGCAGGCAGTTTGAGTACGTTTAATCAGAGAGCATTTGTATCAACAAAAAAAAATCTGTGTGCATGAACGGCCTACAAGTTGCTTTGCAAACTAAAACATTCACTGAGCACCAACTGTTTGGTTTCTAAAAAACGAAATCCACATTCCTCCGATGAATCTCCTTCTGTTCTGCCGCCCCGCTTGGGGAATTTCATTAAGTGTGTGGACACTTACTCATGATTACATATGGGTGTAAAAGTAGGAAAGCTAATGAGTCAGAGGAGGAGACAAAAATACGAGATTTATTTTAGTGTGTTCATACTTCACTCAAACTTGGCCATCACTACAGTGATGTCAGGAGCCTTCACTAGCGGAGGCAAATCAGTAGCATGTCAATTACTGCCCTTTCTTTTCAAGCAATGGCCAACAAAACGTGTTGATGATGAAAATGTGGCTGACATATCTGCCTCTCCCTGTGTATCTCTCTCTTTCCTTTGCACTACCTCCTCTACTCATTCTCCAATCCAAAGCTATTGGCAAGCACTGTGCAGCCATACGTGACCTATTAGAGTGCTGGATTGATTTTAGAGCATGGCTGCAGCCTCTCATCAGTGGGCATGCCCAGAGCACGCCCTTTGACAGCTGGCCGTGGACAGACGACAGCCAGGCAAGACTGATCACTGCGAACTGATAGGCAAGGAGCCA